CACAGTTCTGACAATAGCTCATCGTCTCAACACAATCATGGATTCGGACAAAGTTATGGTAAGATTAAATGTTATGTAAGATTTTATTATAATCGAGTTCTGATTGACCAAGTACAAAAAGTGTTCTTACATTAGTAATTCATTGTGAGGTGATGTGTCGTATTTATCTATCCTAAATATTTTCTTAAATCATTAATACTTTCAGAAAGTGATGTATTTTAATTCCCCAGGTGATCATTAAGTCTTGTTGTTGTTGTTGTTGTTGCTGTTTTTCAGGTGCTTGACGCAGGGCAGCTCATCGAGTTTGACGAGCCTTACATTCTGCTTCAGAAGGAACACGGTATCTTCAGCAAGATGGTGCAAGAGACCGGCAAGGCAGAGGCAGTCAAACTCCTGCAGATCGCCAGAAAGACATCAACGACCCTGAAGACTTAAACAAACCCATGTATCCCTTGACACATTTGACATCAACAAATAATTAATGTAAGATTTACAGTCGAACTGAAAAAAAACGAGATGTGAACGAATTTGATTTGCGAGAAGATTTTATTGTCTTTAATAAGGAAGTTTGTCGTATTTGAACTTCTGGATTGTGTTAGAGTTTGGAAGAGGTGTTTGAGAATGAACGATCCCCCATTGGCGATAGTTCCAGAGAATAGTCAACTGTGTTGTTTAGCTCAACGAGTGATGCGTGATAGTCTGTACTGTTGTCTGTATGTACTGAACACCCTAGGACATAACAGAAAACAACGCCCCCCCCCCCCCGGGCTGACCTAAAAGCCACATCCAATCCCTCTGGTGGTGAAATAAACAATAAGTGGTTGTAAATAGCAGCCTGTAAAACCAAGGGCAATAAGAAAAACAGTATGAATCGAAAAATCATTAAGTAAAAAAAAATTAATTCAAAAACTAGGGTAAACAGTTCTATAAGAAAGCACACAAATATCAAAGTAGAAACAGAAAAAAAAACATTTGCACTAAAGATACAGAAAGATGAACTACCCCCACCCCCCCCCCCCCCTAACCAGACCAGCAAGTGGCAGCAACCCACGACAATATGCAAGAAGAAATTAAGATATCAGCTACAAATTGCCAGCAAGCACAGCTTGTAAAAGTAAAAAATACATACATGTTTATATACTGAAAACATGTACATGGATGCGAAAATTTCAAGAGGGCCCAATGTCTGAACCCCATCAGATATACCTCTCGAGACTACATTTGGTGCCCAAGAAAGACTCCAATGGGATTGAAAACGCCAAATTATGTAATTCTTCAGCGTGTTTTTAACGACATTGTTGTAATTTTATCTTTGTACTTTAATTGTGTTATTTGATCCCACATCGCTACCCTTTGTATTGATGTGTTAATCATGTAATTCAGCCTGTCCATTGCCACATCGATGTCTGTGAAACAACCATTATCAATTAAATTCAATTCAACATTTTAATATTATTATTATTATTGATTTTGTTACTAAATAAGATATGAATAAAATAATGTCATCCTCGCATTGCCAACATCGGCCGGCTGTGGTGCGTCTCTGCATATCACTGATGATTATTCACGGTATCCTAATAGAAAGATAACCTACAAACAAATCATACAATACTCTCTTGAAGGCACTCCTTAGGTCATGCATCATTGAGCATCACTGTCTTAAAAATTGTATGTAAGAACCCGATATAAGAAGAGTATCGTATGTCCAAGATGCTGCAAGACAAGTTTAGATGTGGTCTAAGAGGTGCGTGGGGTAGGACGCCCTCACCCAAAGTACGACCAAAGCGTGCTCCGTGCCGAGGGATTTTGATGGCATTCAACCAGGAAGTCACGTGCGTGTTCCAATTTCTTCCCCCTATTCCTGGTTATCACATAAAATCAGTTCAGTAGCTGTATATTGAAGGTCGTTGCCAGCCATCAGAAATCGACAAACAGCTCCAGCGCTTTTTAAGTTCAAATGTACCTAGGGTTCTGAACCATTGTACTCTGCACAGTGTGTATCACATGTAAAAATAGTCTCAATGCACATTTAAACTTATTTGCTTTCAGTACAAAACCAATGGAGAAAAAGTTGGTCAAAGCCTGAAAATTTAAACCCTGTCAACCCCCCCCCCCCCCCACAGCCTTTTATATCGCTGGTTAGATTCAACCGATCGTGGTCAGCACTGAACTATGATTGAAATAATGGAGATATTTCAGTAATTTGTAAAATGGCAATTATACTAGTTTATTTTTTATGACAATGTTGCGATGCATATTTCGATTGTAGGCCTACCTTTGCAATTGTAACCTTGGACGTGGGTAATCATGTAAATGAAACTTTCGCATTGCTATTAGACCTGCCAATTACTTTTGATGGCACAAACGTGTATATCAGAAGTTTAATTAAATATAAAAAAAGAACGAAGATGTTTACATTAATTACTGAAATACAGATAACATGCAGTTAAGGCTAAAAAGCATTGTCTATAAACAATTTGAAATATTAAGATAAAACAATTTGAAATAACAAAACACTGATGATTTTGTTCATCAATATTGAGTCCACATTTTTTTAATTTCTATAATGCCATAATAATAATGGCGACTGAGTAATGAGACGCACAACTGAGAGGGTCTAACAACTCAGCAACCAGCACAGTATAATCATACACTAAATTCCTCCTGTTACTAGGTAAGTTCCACGTCTAAACGTCAAGGCTGTTTTGCTTTTTCTCTGTGATCAATCTGAAGGAGTTTCATTTCAGTCATGCCGAGAAAAATCAGGCGACAGTGCCTACAGTGCAACTTTGAGGAATCCCTGGTATCATTACGAGAAGTGATTAATAATAATGCCTTAAGCCACGCCCACTAATGGCGCTGGCCAATTGGATGCTAATATTCCAGCATGAGTTACTTAGCACAAAGAATTGTTACTACACAATTTATGTTAATGTATACAACATATAGTTGATGACTCATCACGTAATTATTGCTATTACATCTGTCATGTATGGTTTGGCTGCACCTGGAAAAACCGAAGAAACAGTCTGTTGCATTTAAACAATTAAGAATCCAGTAATTGTGTATCAAGTGACAAATGAGCTTCAGGAGCAGGTGCCGTTGTAAACATTATCTTCTCTGAAGAGCAACACCAGAATATAGTCTGCGAATTAAATCAATTTTATGCCAACATAACTTACAATATTATTGGCTTTAACAATTTGATGATTTAAGAACTTCAAATTACCCTTGCTATTCGAATCGATCCCTCAAAGGAGGTGGTAGGCCAGGAGAAATAGTAACGCACTCACTGGTAATTCTAATGGTTCTTTGCGGCTTAGTACCCTGTGTTCTAGCGCCGCCCAGACCTACAATACCCGCCCCGTCATCGTAGCTGTCCGTTCGCGTTACGGCCCGCCTGGCTTCCCGTAGTCAATCAAGCACACTGTTCAGCTAAAGCTAGATAACCACGGTCCTGTCGTAACCATTTATATATACACAGAGGCGTGGGGGCGTTAAGAGGGTATTTACCCCCGAATATTTTGTAACGACTGCCCTTTTCCATTCAAGTACCTTTTTTTCTTTTCCATTCAAGTGCCCTGTTTTTCAACATTGTTCCCTCCCCTCATATGTTTGAAGTGTGCCCTTTTGGAACAAGTGCCTTTGTTTAATAAACAAGTGCCCTTTCAAAAACAAATTGCCCCTTTTGACCACCAGCCTCCTGCGAGTGCCCCTTTTTGTATTTAGGGCGAGCCACGGCAATTTTGCCGTCCTGAGAAGCGCCATCTATTGCATATCGTCGGATTTAATCAGCGCCCCCATTACAAGGTGGAACAACAACCCCACCCCACCCCCAACTATTTGATTTTACGGGGGCCACGTGTTTTTTGTACGACAAACTTGAAGGCAACCATTGGACGCCATTTGATTGAATTGGAATATAACTGATCCTCTATTTCATGGAAATAGGACCAACAGAGGTTTTTTTTATTTTTCATCACTCGTCTACACGTTGAAAACAAAATCAGCTGCTGGCATACGCTCAGTTTTTTCTGAATTGTTTTATTTCACTGGCAAGAAAATGCTATACGCATCATACGCAGGTTGTATACGGAATAAAAGGAAGCTCCTGTGTCAGCGTCTATTTTTTTCTCGGTAACCGTCATTTCAATCCATGGTTACGTTCACTCACTCCTCTATGTTTTGTACCTAGCAGCAGTTATAAGTTGAGTGCGTATACTACTCTGGTATTTTTTCAGACATTATCTTTTCTTCTGTATTATTTTGTCTTTTGTTCTTAAATGTTAAACTTTTTTTCTGCAATTGAACATTTTATCAAATGTATATAAGGATGTACATCTTCAACCCCCCCCCCCCCTCTACATTCTGCCCACCCCACCCCAACCAACTCCCACACTTTTAACCATATTGACGATAAAAAGATGAAATCTAAATCAGGGTCACTCTTTTTACAAATAACCCATTTTGTACCCCTCCACCCAAATCCTGGGTACGCCATTGCGTACGGATTACCGAACTGTGCTTAACTCTCTATCATGGCAAACACACGTGTTGGCGCATGTGTAACCTTGTCGTCATTAGAGACACACTCTTGGAAGAAATGGTCCGGTTAACATTGTTAACTTATCTTATGATGGGACTGCGGTTTGGCCGAAGTCAATTGAGCTGACTGATAAGGTTTACGTACAAAACCCCGAGCCAACGAGGTTTTTGTATAGAAAGCTGCCGGCCACTTTGCGCGAGTGTGTCCGTAATGGTCACTGGTGCGTGCTATTCCAACAATAGCACGTTTCTCACTGGCAAAGAATAGCTGTTACGAACACGCACCACTACTGCCACAATATACAATACTTCATATATTCATTCCATATATATTTCAAGCACCGTCATGGCGGTCCATAACGTCGACGGTTCGTCCAAAATATCGCGTAACGACAACAAACCTAGACATGTTTCAGATTCGACGCAGACTGAGGATGAGCCCGTCAAAGCCCCTCCGGAGTCAGAAGACCGCCACATCCCATGAAGACAGCTGGTCTCTTCTCCAAACTATTTTTCATGTAAGATAAGTTGTTCACCATATTATACGCAAGGACATAGACCATTGTGCTATTCTCCTGTAAGCTTACAATAACATGCCACCTCTTTTTGTACTGTAGTTATTTGTGCTGCCGTATTTTTACACAAACATTAATTATTCATAAGATGGAATTTGCGTCAAGGTGATGTAAATCAAAATGGGGTTTTGCCCTTCACCGACGTATAAACAATGTGTAATTAGTGTGTTCACAGTGTATATACGTCAGTGAAGAACAAAATCCAATATTGTTTTACATCACCCCGACTCAAATTCCATCTCATGAATAGTTTAATTGCGATACCCGCTGCTACATGTACATCAGATTCAACCAGATAACCGATCCTGCAAGCTCGGTGGTCGAGTACGAGGGGTAATGCATTTTGCATAGAAATCAGGAGGTCGTGGATTCAAGTCCCACCCGAGTGATTTTTCCCAACTTTCACTCAGGAGGTAACACACTGAGTGTACATTGTATATACGTCGGTGAAGGGCAAAACCCAACATTGACCAACTTCAGTTAGTCTGTGAATTGTTTTTTTTTCCGATTTGCTTCAAACTATTGAGGCATCTTTTGTTTCGGTGAGCATCTTAGGCATCTTAATTTTCGAGGGAAAAATACAATTTACATCAACTGTCCAGTACATAATTGTTAGCAGCCTATAGGTAAAAATTGTTAATGATATATATTCTTATACATTTTTTTGTATGATACAACATCATCAAAATTGTTTTAAAACCCACCAGGAACAACCCTTCCGTTTTGATATGCTAGTTGCTGTTGCTTTTACTCGCATTGTATTGCAAAAACACCATAATAATTAGGTTATTCAACCAGGAAATTAAACAAATACTGAATCAGTTACTTAGCACATCTTACCATTCTTCCCAAACTATGTTCCGTATAATCCTTGACTTACATATGTGCACATAAAACATTGACACAATAACGTGACTTGAACATCACTGTTTAACCACCCCATGTCATTTTGTTTCCTCCTCTTTTTTGTTGTTTACATGTACAATACATTTCCTTTTGTGAAGTTGGATGTTTGACTTCTTCCGTCGGGGCTACAAGAGACCTCTTGTTGAAACAGACTTGTATGACGTTCTGCCTGACGACTCCGCTGGAGTCGTGGTTGGTAAACTCGAGAGGTAATGTATGTGCCCATGCTACACCCTATCCAAATACGAAATGTGTAAACAAAATCAAGTCTAAAACCCTTGAGCACACTTAAGCTTCCAGATCAGTGACAAAAAATACAAACTAATACATTTATATCTGACTACCCATGGAGAGGGAAAACAACGATTATTTACAATTGTAAATCTTAATTTTATGTTATTGGTGGTAGGTCGAGTATGATCTTTTGAATTTCATTTTTCCATGCAGGGAGTGGAATAAAGAAATTAAGAAAAGCGAAGCCACAGGAAGGCCTCCGTCTCTTCGATGGGCGTTGGTTAGAGCTTTGGCTGGCATTACATGATACACGGCTTGCCTGCATTCATTGAGGTAACCAAAAACCATCTGTATATTGTGAATATTGTACTACTTTTCTTACTAGAGATCTAAGGAAACATTTTCAAGGACTTGACAATCGAAACGCCAGAAAGCATTTACATGAATATAAAAACCGACTCGATGTCAGTCACTAGAAGTTATTATTAACATGTTAAGTGAAATGCAGCGTGTAAAAGAAACAAATTCCGCAGCAAATTACACAATGTTTGATCTACATGACGCCCCCCCCCATGAAATATTCCAGCCCCTCCCCCCCCAGCGCCCCCCCCCCAAACTGAAAAATTCCTGGCTATGCCACGCTGCTACGACTACAATTTCATTTATCAGAGAAGGGCTATTGATTGTAAATTGTTTATTAAAGTTCTCTGCGGAACATTTCAAACCGCAAAGGGTGCATGCTGTTTGTGTATAAGAAACTACTAAAAGGCTGTTTCAAATACTCTTAATTTCGTCTATTATATCAGTGTTTTCGTTTATTCGGATATCCGTCTTAATTCTCATACATGTATTTTGGATATGGACATTGTCAACAGGAGGTCGTCTTGAAGATGGCCCAGCTGATGCTGAGTCGTCTGGTTCTGTACTTCTCCACGGACCTCGTGTCGACCACGGAAGCCTACTTGCAAGCATTGGGCATGTCCTTGTCTTCTTCTTCCTTCTCGTACTCATCACCCACCATGCCTGCTTCTTCGGTTTTGCTATCACGGGATGAGGCTTAGGACGGCCTGCTCGGGTATCATCTTTAGAAAGGTGATTCAAGATTTCCAGTAGGAAATTGCAGTACGGTCAGTGGCGGTTCTAGGGTGGCTAGGGATGCTTAAGGCCCCCCCCCCCAAAAAAAATAAATAAATAATAAATAAATAAATACATTCCATAATGAAAACGAAAGGCACTACCAAAATGTAAGAATGTGACTTACGTACATGCGAACGGTCTTGCCCCAAATAAATAGTCGTGAGAAGGGGTGCATTTTGTACACTTAGTGTGAATGATTGTAGGATATTATCAGCGCTCCCCATTGAAAATATGGCACAAGCCACCCCCTCTCCTTCCCCCATTGAGTTTTGTAGCCTAAGTGTCTGGAGAAAAGAACCGGTCTTCATTTCAGCCCGCCTCCCTGAAAAAAAAAATCTGGATCCACCCTGCTAGCCTCCCCTCCCCCCCCCCCCCCCAAAAAAAATATATATATATATTGGCTCTAGAACCGCGCCTGAGTACAGTGTAATCCCGGAACGGCTGAATGCCA